TCCAGAACGCAGGCGAGCGAAGTCCGCGCGACGACCCACGCTTCGTCCTGCTTTCCAGCGGCCCAGAGCGAGGCCTGCGTGCCTCTAGTGTCCAGCCCACGTCCCCGTGCGAGGCCCATCGGCCCGGTCCAGACGCGACCATCCCCAACTCAGCTCCTGTCCAGCGCTCTAGTTCGGCCGAGATCCGGTTCAGACCGGTTCAGAAGGGGCCCAGCACCCGGTTCGAATCCAAGATGAGGTTCGGGAGGTTTGACCAAGTCAATGGAGGTCCGATGATCCGACTTGGACAGTGAGCGATCCGGTGGTGATGTCAAAGCTAGTCCGGCAGCCCAACGGACATGAGACTCAGACGATCTCCATCAACGGAAATCAGAAACGTCTCAAAGTCGACAAAATTAAAGACGGTACGCGTTGAACCCTCACTTCTAGTTCCACTGCGCTTAGGGTTTATTTCGTAAATCGTCTGTGACATGCATAATTTCGTGATCCTAACTGGTCCCAACACGAAGTTCATCCCATACATCCTTAGCAGAAGTGAAGAACAATATCTAATTTCTTAAGACATTGAATTTAACTGAGAGAACAAGGTTGTTCGCTCGATCCAGGCAAGATATAGAATAGGGTGTCCAGTTGGTGGAGTGGTGACAGATCCATGGATGGTTCGGGTTTTGTTTTTCACGCTCGTTGTCATGATCACCACGCGCCCCTAGGAGATGTAGTTGTCGCCATTGAAGGGGTCTGCAACTAACAGTGCCCGGGGATTGTCGCTCGGATGGAGATAGAAAGCGAATGATTGATCGTCAGAGGATTTATCGCTATTTATAAGATTCTAAGAGAACAAATCAAAGAGAAAATACAGAGAAAATGAAAAATTGAAGTACGATTATTGGCTGAAGCTTCAGAAAACAAGAAATTTTCTGGCGATTGATATGATATTGGATTATAGCATATAGAATCTCATATCAATTAAAACTGAAAGAGAGAGAAAGGAGGCAGATGATTCTATCACAGAGAGAATATAAAAAATGCAAAATTAAGGTTACAATGTGTTGTTCATGTCTATTTATACTATTCCTATTATAACTAAAGTTGCTAAATACGAAATGACAACTTTGCCTTACGATATACATTATGAAGGATAAAAGTAAGACGAGGAGTTCTCAAAATTGATGAAAACATGATTCGAATGATAATTTGACATTAAAGAGATTCCTCATCCATCGACTCAAGAAATAACAACTCTAGTAGGTCGTAAAGTTGATCAGCTAGCATCCGCCGAAAAGAGGTAAACGGCATCGGGATTTAATGCTTATTTTAACTGTTGGTGCCTTTTTTAAACATGGTATTAGTTATCTCTCTTAACATTAAGGTTTCTTTACAAAGTAAAGAAATGTGAAATGGCATAGATTTATAGCTCTCACTGAGGTTGAAGGGTGCATTCATACATTTTCATTTTTGCAATTTTTCAAATTGCCATTAGTATAAATTAGATTCTGGGAATATATATATAGATATACTATAGTTACGAGATTAGAGTTGGATATGATCCAAATTCGGCTGCCGAAATCCGCGCGTGTGCCGTACACGCGCCACCATGTCTTTACAGCCTTTCTGACGTGCCAGCACTTGGGCACGTGTGGC